TGTCAAATTCAAAAGCTCATCATTAATCTGAAGTCATAACTTAGAATGTTAAATAGCAGGTCTATGGGACTCATTTCAAGCTGTCTTAAGAAAAAAATTTAAGAACAATGTGTAACTACAGCCACATTCTTATTTCTAGGTAATATATCGCAACATACTTGCTCCTCACCCTTCTTTCTGTAATGAAACTAATGTATGGATGGTGCAGCCTAAGTATTCAATTTGTTAGGCTATTTAAATGAAATACTCACAGTAAATGTTAAAGTAACATTTAAAATAAGTCCTCCTTGACTTAACACATCTACTTTAAGCATGGAGGAAACTAACTTCTTTTCTTTTTCTACCTATACTTTTGCTCACCAATACTAAACAATATAGAGGAATTGATTCCACAGCCATGGAATTGAGAAAAGCCAGGAAGTGATGCTGAAAAAATAAATGAAACTATGGTAAGTAAAGTATTAACCACCACCAAATGAGATAAGGTTAGCCAGCAGAATTACTGCATCAAATCATTATCTATAATATTGGTTGATTTAAAAATCAGAATCTACAAGAATTATATGACTTAATGTTTTTCCTAAGGTTTGTATACAACTTCAAAACTTTTCTAAATAAGATGTAACATAATTAGCTGATTTCAAGATCTCAGAGTACAATTTTAAATTCATAACACTTATTTCACTTTGACCAAAAAGTCTTTTCCAAACCTGAACTTTGGGATCTATACTGTGGGGTTACCTAACCATCAAAATCATATTTTTAAGAACCTGATGATTGCACCAATATCTACATATTGGGGTAGACTTATGCTTTTATTAGAATTTGTTCTTTAGTAACCAGAATTATATCCAATTTCCAGTGTTTAATCCCTCAGCAGTCCAAGGTGAGAATTTATTTGTGCTCACTTTATTGATTAATGTGAAAAATGTATTCAATGAGTTTATCAAAGTATGTAAGAACTACATGCCTTTGCCCAAAAGTCAAAATAATATTCTTCTATAAGAACATGAATGTTCCCTGTTGATACACTTTAGCTAAAACAAATAAACAAATGTTTTTCTTTAGTGTAAACTGGTCATCTACAGCAATCCTTTGCATTTTAGAAATAAAAACTTGGTGAAGTAGATAGGTAAGATGCCTACACACTTAAGGTGACTCAATAACTGGACCACATAAACAGCAAGTCCTAATTTTCTTCTAAATACAAACACAGAGACCCCACAGATAACCTAATTTTCAGAAACCCAAATTCCTATAGTTAGGTTGTTACTTTTGGCTTTTCTTACACTATCAACTCCAGAAAAGTTACATATTTATAAGATGTATCTTTTCTATTTTTACTTTGTCAAAAATAATTTCATATAATTGGAGTCCATGAATGGATTAAGGCCACAGGATCTTGGCAGAAATGGCTGATTAGTGTGAACATACTGGTAGCCCCCTTAAACCAACCATCACCTTGCGCTTCTGTTGGGCATAGCTCGTGCTATATTGGCCAGCGGCTCTGCGCGCTTCCTCTTCATGCTCTTGAATTTGTTGTTGTAAGAGAATGAGCTCACCAAGCAGACCCTGCCATGAGTTTACAATGAGGAGAAGAGGAAATTGGGGAGGAGAACAATGTTAAACCAAAGGGTGCAACAAAGGAACAGATATGTAAGATAGGGACAGATGGTTAACTTAAAACAGAAATGGAAACTCATGTATCTTTAGAGCCATCATACCCTGGGGCTCTGTACTGCATTTCCATTTTCCCCCTTAGTAAATCAGATGTCTCAGAAAAATAAAACAGCATAGTTTAAAAAGTGAAAAGAGTGCAATAATAAGTGCTAAATAACATGAGCCAGATATATAAAACATATGCAGAAAAAATACTGATTTTTTAAAATAGTGTTGATCTCACTGGTCTTATTTTATTTATTTATTTTTTTTGAGATGGAGTCTTGCTCTATAGCCAGGCTGGAGTGGCAGTGGCGCAATCCCGGCTCACTGCCACTTCCGCTTTCCAGTTTCAAGCAATTCTCCTGCCTCAGCCTCCCGAGTAGCTGGGACTACAGGCACGCACCACCACGCCCGGCTAATTTTTTGTATTTTTAGTAGAGATGGGGTTTCACCATGTTGGCTAGGATGGTCTTGATCTCTTGACCCCGTGTGATCCGCCCGCCTCGGCCTCCCAAAGTGCTGGGATTACAGGCATGAACCACCACACCTGGCCACTGGTCTAAATTTTCTAATTCTCAACCATGATTCTCACAGGACTGATTGACGATCATAATAGCTTATTTACTTATCAAATTATTATTTTTAAGTTAATAATTTTTCTCGGTATTTCATTTTTTCAAGTAAAGGTTAAAGTCCCTAGAAACAAATTTTTCAGCATCAAGTTAATCAAGGTTTTACATTAAGTCATATATTCTATGTGCCTCTGCATACATCTGATTAAAATTTAGGGTTCTCTTTTTAAATTAAAAGGTAATGTTTCATGTTCTGATTTGACTTCATATACAGTATCAAATAACTAGTCTGACCAAATTTTCCCTTTTTTGAGCTGTTATGACATTAAATAGAAATAGCCTCTGAGAATACACCCAAGCATATACAAATTACTCAACAAAAGTGCTATAAAAGAACACAATTAAGATATGGAGATAATATAGTTATTATGAAAATTTGAAATGAAAACAAAAACCAGTTTGGACCTATGCAGACACACACAAAAAAATCACCTTTTCTATTTCTAAAATTCATTCCATTTCATAATTATAAAATGGTACATTGGTAAAAATTTTAATTACAGCATATTCACATGTGGCATCATAATAAAATACATGTCATTTCCTGCATGGTTTTATCAACTGTTGGCCTATTAGTAATCGACCTCAAAAAATGTGGAGAAAAGACAACTAAAATTTGACAATGTTACAAGCCTAATGTTTTCTTAATTAGACGTCCTAAAAAAAAAATAAAGTTCTAATGAACGAGGTAACAACTTAATTTGTATAATAACAGTGTTTCTGGGAAAACAATGGACTCAATTTTTACCCAGTTATAAAAGAGAAAAATGACTGTTTATTAAGATATTCTAAATTAAGAGTTTTAAATAGTTTCAGAGTTTCAAAAAAATGACTGCCGAAAAATATTTTATTTGATATAATTAGAAAGTCTCTTAAAATGTGGATATAATTTGGAGAATTTTATTCTGTTTGTTAGTTTGGATACATTAGGCTGTGATCATTGCCAGTATTAGACCATAAATGAAACTAGTTGATTTACTATAAACCAAAGGATAAAACTAGTTGATTTTTTCCACATGACAAGTGAAATTCAACATTTGTTTCCAGATACAGTAGTATAAAATATAGTTATAAAAAGACATGTCTTTAAATAAATCAGTTTTATGATCACTAACAAACCCATTAAAGAAAGATAATGCCACTACTACCCTCCTCATTCTCATAATTTTTACCTTTTTAAAAAAATCACTGCTTTATCAAGCAGAAACAGTAACCTCACTAATTTTCATTCATTTGGTCATTTATCATACCCCTTTCTCCAAATCATCCAAGTGTTTAAATTTTTCAAACAATTCCCTTTAAAGAAGGCTTCCTATGTCGGTTTATATAGTGGTGTACCTGCTGTATTTACATACCACCAGTAGTCTAATTTATAAAATCTCAAAGCAGTGAGAAAATATTCCACACTTCTTACTCACATCTATGCAGCACACAATGCTTTTTTATTTATAGTTTAAAAATTCTTCTCTAATTCATTGCTTATATATACAAATGCATGGTAAAAACTCCAGTAATCTATTAGATTTCAAGAAAACACTCCAGGGGACATGTCACTTTCCTTCCAAGCCTGTTACAGAAGCACTATTATGTAAAGATACTTGAAATTAACTGAAATTAACCTCTTGCAAAAGTAGCAAGAAAAGAAGAATTAGACATAGAAAGGCTATCTACATTATACTATACACTTATACCAAGGTTATCTTTCTCTGATTTTGTGTATCAGTCTTACCCTAAATACCAAGTGATGCCACATAGCCTCTAGGGTAAGGCCATGTGGAACAGGAAGAGGGTGGAACAGGAAGAGGAAGAAATGTATGTACCTACTGGGCGAGAACATTCCTCAGATGTACAAACTGCATTTTTCAATAAATATTTTCCCAAGCGTAGACATTTTTCTTTCAAGAAATGGCACACAAATAATTTTTAAAACAGTATGATATATAAAATAGAGTAGTATTTATAAATAACAATAAATAATCATTAATAATCACAGATGACATAGTCTCTAAACATCTGACTCCTGGCTATTGTCAATTTGACACTGCAGATCTCAATCTCTCATCTCTCTTTTTTTTAATCTCCATTTCTGAGTCAGCTTCCTTATCTCAGTCTCATTTCATGTACAATGTCCTCAGTGTTTTAAAAATTATAACATCAGATAAAGAAAATGAGTAATAATTCCAAAAACCAAAATATCAAATGAAAGTACTACGCTAAAAGTGAACGAATTTGGTAGAAAAGATTTCAGGTAATCTTGAAATATTATGCTATTGTCCCCCACAATTTCCTATGATGAAATCTAATCCCACAATGTGATAGTATTGAGAGAGAGCGCCGTTGGAAGGTGATGAGGTCATGTAGGTTCTGGAGTTATTGGCCTTACAAATAAAAGGCCAGAGAGCTGCCTCGTCCTTTTGCTACATGAGGATATAGGGAGAAGAAGGCATCATCTATGAAGCCATGGGTCCTCAGAAGACATGGAATCTACCAGCGCCATGAACTTGGATTTCCAGTTACTACATCATCTGTTGCATAAGAAATGCCAGAAATGTAAATCCTACCCAAGCAACAATACTTAATTCCAATTCAGAACGTAAAGTACATGAACTACTTTTACAGCCTTGTTCTCTTCAACAGTTGCCAAATATGAAGCCCAAGGAGAATTCACAGGTAATCTGGGCAAAAAAAAATTAGGGGACCAAAATGTTGTTGGCATCAACCAGATTTATTTAATCAGCCTCTACTCTACTGAGTTAAATCAGTCAACTGATTTTACAAAGAACACAACACTATACCAGGTTCTATAAGAAAAAGATTTAGTGACAGAAATGGCCCATTAAATAGTAAATATGCAAGCCAAAATAAACAGTGTTTCATATGGCAAGAGTACATTAATGAGGAGTACATTAATGAAGCTATGAAGATTATGGAAAGCTTCATGAAGGGGACAATTGAGCTGTGCTGTAAGGATGAGTGAAAACTAAACATGCAGGAAAAAAAGAGATATCAGCTGGGGAGGTACACAGAAATCAAAAAATTAAGAATGAGAGTAATACGTTGGAAGAAAGAACATTAATATATTATTTAATAATTATATTTAAAGGAATATTACTACTTTTCATGACTTGGTCCATTAAAAAGTCCTTCAAATATTTTTCTATAAATCATAAATGTGCTTGTTACCTTCAGAATGGCCAAATTCCTTACTTGAGATTCTTATGACCAATCAGAAACATGATAGACAAAAGCACAATAAATAGAATGTCTCATTTTGCAAATCAATTTCACTGGAACACAATAATCTTATAGAATCTAAAAGAAGGATATGAACTACGTGGTCTTGTCACCTGTATATATGATGACTGATAATACTGAAATCTGCTGAGTCCCAAATCAAATTAGTCCATCAATTCTCTAAAGTAGGCAGCACTTCAATTTGTCTTCAGGTAGTTCTGAAGGTCTCCAAGTCTCAAGAAAATTCAGTTCACATCAAGGGCTATGTCTCTTTTCCTCCAGTGGACATAAGTTTTCAGATTTTTGATTAACAAGAAGCATTTAATAAGAGGTGGTTTTAATGTATATTAATCATACCTCAATATAGTAGTGTAAGGTTAAACAAGGTTGGTTTTACTATTTTTTCAGTGTTTTATTAATCAAATCGTATCAAAACTTTTGATCAACATGACATAAATAGTTAGTGTCCACAAACTAAATGGATACAGATCCAAGCAAAACCAAATAAACTTGTAATCAGCCTGTGCAGCATTATGTGAAAATACATGCTTTCTGGAGATTTTTTTGGACTCCTAAAACTCTGGCAGTAACCCCAGGCTGGGAATCACAGGTAGTTCATCATGTTGTTTATTTCTCTAACTCAAGTCAAACTATCTGTGTTCCCCTCAATTCTCCGTCACGTTCACTTCAGTTGACCTTGAATGGTCCTAACTGCTCTGCTATTTGCCAGCACCTCTCCAGATGTGTTTTCCTATTAGAAAGGACAGACCTTCTCTTTAGTTCTAGTTGTATAAATATTTTTCAATTATTACTTTTTAAAAAAGCTGATTCACATATACTTTTAAATTTCTAGAAGTTTACCCAGAAACTTTGTTACGAGCGTGACAACCATTAAACTAATACTTGACTGCTTCAAACCCTAAATGCTATTTTAAATCTGGGGCTTTCAGACCTCAGACTGAACCAGTCAAAAAAGTATTCAGCTAAACCCTGGATGCCACCCTACAACCTATGACTATTGCCCACATTTACAAACTTGATGTCTGAGTGATTTCAATAAGGGTACTGCTAAGCTAAGGTCTCTGCATGCTTACATTCAACCATTAATTTGTACACAAATCTCAAAATTAGTCAGTTTATCTGCATCTTAGCTGAGCGGCTAATTCAAGCATCACAGGAAACAGCCAAGCTTTGCAAACACAATGCTGCATATTATTAATAATAGAATTTGAAAACATCAGTTAGGGCTTGAGATACATTTTTGTGGTAAATTTTCATAGTAGTATTTGTTATAATTTGACTTAACCTGTAATGAAAGCAGCTTATTACAACTCTAGATTCAGTATGTATAACAAATAGTTGAAAAATATAATTGACAAGTCTTTAATGGGCAAAATAAGCACCATAAATTGAGAAAAAGTTAAAAAAATAGTTTACGAGGGCATTTACTGTCAAACAAGCAAATTAGAAGAAGTAAGGAGTAAATTAGAACATACTGTAATAAATTTACTTTTATGTATGTTGCATAAAATAAAATCTGTAAATATATATTTCAAAAAATAATTCTCTGGCTTCTTCTCTATTGCAGAGATTCTGTTCAATTACTGATTATTCATTTATGACCTTAGCAAGGCTTTAAGGGAATTACCTGAGTCAGGCCCTGAAACAGGTTTTTCATTCATTCACCACAGCGATCCCAGGCCATATCAGAGAGAAAGCAGACATACGGATCTCTCCTAACCAAGTTGGCAAACAAATCTTGTCACTCAAAGAACTATACTACCACACCTGTAACAAAGGTTCCTTCTCCCCATTACATTAGCTCTTCTCTCCACATTAAATTTACTTGCTTTAAGGGCCAAGGCCTTCAATCAAAATAAGCCATAAATATTAGGCTGATTTCTACTTAAATTCTTTTTTCCCCAGTAGCATGAACAATCAAAAATATCCTCTCGTTAGAGTGTCCTTTGGTTAAAATAATGTCAATACAAAAGAGTGTCAAAAAAGATCAAATCAAAAGACAAATACACATACATACACTTTGACATATATTTTTCTCCAAAATAAAAGGCAAAAGAAAAAAATCTTTTGAAATATAATTAAAATTTAGAATATAATGTAAAAAGTTCAAAGTTGAAGAACAGGGAAAGAAAGAGATGAAAACCTATTCATAGAAATTTCCTCTTCCTACTTCCAAAATAAACATAAAATTATTTCTTTGATGTATTAAAACTACAGTATCTTTCAGTATAAAAATTACATGCTCCATATTTAATGTTAAAACATTCATATAATATTTTTTCTATAAACTTATTTATCTAGGTATTATTTAGAAAATACCTATTTTCTATAAATCTATTTATCTAGGTATTATTTAGAAAAAAATTTTCAAGGAATCACTTATTTTACCAATTCCAAAAGAAAGAAAAAAGTGAAGACTCAGAAAACATCAGGTAAATATGTTGAGTATTATAAATACAGAGCAATGTATGCTATTCTAGTTTAGCAATTCTCCTGTAACTTTCATATGGATTTTGTTAATGAATATGTATTCAAAATAACACACTGTAAATAACCCCATACTTTGTTAACTATCAATATCAGGGAATTGATTTATTTCCTAATAACCCACTTTCTATTCCCTTCTAGTTTCCCCAAAGAGAAATCTAGCCCCTGTAAGTTGTTCCATGAGCAAAAGGGTTCTGTCGATAAATAATTCTGAAAAACATTGTATGCTTTGACTCCTTGGAAATTCACAATGTGCATGAGTGTATTACAGGGAGAAGTCCTAGGGAAAAGAAGTCTGCTTGCTTTGTCTAAACAAGCCTCCTTCCTCCTCCCCCTGCCTGACACACTTAACAATAAAACTCTTTCTTGGGGACAACCCTTGAAACTAATATTTCACAGAACATATTTGAAAGAAATGGGCTCTCGACTATATTTCCAGAACTGCTACATAATACCTTGTACTTTGCACTAAGACTAGTAACAATATCTCTACTTGGATAGTTTTGTATTTGCTCCTCAGTTGTTATCATTTTAAACTCTTCCAAAGATGTAAAAACTTAAAAAAAATCTTTCGAGGCTACCTACATGAAGAATTCTCTTTTACACTTACCTTTCTAAAATGCTTGTCACTTTCAGATCCATGATCTGTTGCTCTAAATGCTGTTTCTCCCGATGAACCTTAAAGATAAATATGCAACCCTTTATATCTCCAGTGATGTCAACAGCCTAAGCTGAATTTTAAATTACATCTAGTCAATGAAAAAGTGAATGGATTTTAAGAGCAACTCAGGTTCAAAGCGTCAAATCACCTTTATTCCTATTTTAAGGAACATGACTGATAACCTGTGCAGAAAATAAAAAAATACTATAGCAATCACAGCGTATGTTTAACCTAACAATTAAAAATTGATAACTGAAATTACAAAAAAAAAGAAGACAATCTTTGGTAAGGATTATTTTATATGAGAGTACTTACAGTTCAGCCACATACCACTGCCATTAATATGTATAGTAGAAAAACAAATGTAAATGTCAACCATGACAGGGCAGATGAGACAAACTAAAATTACTTTTCATTTCAATTAACAAACACAATTAGATCTATTTTAAGAAAATATTTTTGCTAAGCAAATTTTCTTTTAATAGCTTTAATCTTGTAATACACATACATATTTAAGAATTTCAGTTTTATCACAAAATAATTATTTTATTATTTCCCCCTAAAGGATAATGAGTTTGCCTAATATAGTTCTGGGGTTTTAAAATTCAGCATAAGCAGCATTATAAATTTGGTCCGCAATTTTATTTGCAACTAGTTTATTAGAAGCATTTAAAAGGCATGTTAAGGTCAGCAAAAATATCTGTTTACACACCTAACAAGAGAAGTAGGTCAGAAGCTCCTATGACTTCACTAACCAATTTGTGACCTGTGAAAAATCAGCAAAAGGGGAAATAGAAATGTAAAATTTAACAGAAATGAGCAAATAAAGATGTCTGAGATCTCAGATTTCATATTACAATAGGTCAAAAACTGGGCAAATATGCCAGGATTACCTTAATAAATGCTACTTATTATGGTCCATCATACTTAAATTTGTTTTTAAAAACTGGTCCAACCATTATGAAAAGCAAGTGCATAGAAGTCTCATCTACTTGTCAAGAACAAGTGATATTTTTTCCCCTCACTATAAGCCAAGTATGTTGAAGTGCTTATGAATTGCCACTTTACTGGGCTCAACAAAGTTTAAAACCATTGTGCAACAAAAATTTGTGTTTATCTTTTTTTTAACGTCCTGTTTTTCATTGGTACTAATTTTTTAAAAATGGGACTAAACAAATAATCTACGTATTGTTCCTCCAGGGTTCTTGAAACTTTAAACAAGATCAAACAGGTCCTTCCTTACCTGTGGTGAAAAGGTCCTTCAATAAGCTGAGGCTTTCAACAATCTTGTCAAAGTCCGGGGCTAACTTTACAAGGTCTTCTGAATTAGGAAGGGCTTTTCTAATTTTCTCTGGAACAGATCAAAACATATAAATAGTATGAAACTAAGAGCATATGTCAGGTACTATTCTCATAAAGCGCTAAAAGTATTAACTTCTTCAATCCTCATGGCAACCCTACAAAACAGCTACTGTTATCAACCCCATTTACAGATGAGAAACTAGGGCACATAGCAAGGAAGCGGAGGAGCCCAGGTTCCAGCCCAGGCAGTGTAGCTCCAGAATACAGGCTCTCAGCCACTACACTATGGTAGTGGCAAATCTATCAAGTTGAAAGCTCTCCTCATTAATATTAGAAAAACAATTTGAAAGTGTGCTTTTTCTGCAAATACATTCGTCAGCACAGAGCAGTTTTATCTTCAGAAATTCTGTGAATAAGTGCAAATAAATTCCACTGCCACATAAACCTAAACTAAGAAATCTGACAAAGTTTTTAAAAAAAATTGATGAAAATATATTTTTTAAAGATTATCATGAATTATTAGCAATCATAGCTATCCAATAATACTTTTTTCACATCCACCTATTGGAAAAGCGGGGGCAGTGGACAACTAAGAAAAGAAATTACTCTGGATACAAACAGACTTTTAAAGAACTTGGCTTCAAAAAGTAGAGGTAACCAAGGTATCCAATCAAAAGGAACTAGTTAGGTGAGTCACAATAAATATGCTCTGGGCAACATTACATGAACACAGAAAATGGTATTATTAATAGAAAGGCCACTTGGCAGCATGGAAATGCTAACAAAATAGGTAGTAAAATACAAAATACCAAAGTGTATATTCACAATGATTATATAATTTTTAAAAAGGGAACTAAAGTATTATTCTGTAGTAATGTGTTCATGAAGACAAAAATTAAAAGAAAAAAAAGTTCAAGCCAGGCATAGTGGCTCATGCTTATAATCTCAGCACTTTGAAAGGCTGAGGTGAGAGGCATGAGCTGAGGAATTTGAGACTAGTCTGGGCAACACAGCAAGACCCCATCTCTACAAAAAAATTAAAAAATTAGTCGGGCATGGTGGCACATGCATGTAGCCCCAGCTACTTGGGAGGCTGATTTGGAAGAACTACTTGAGCCTAGGAGTTCAAGGCTGCATTGAGTTATGATTGCGCCACTGCCCTCCAGCCTGAGCTACAGACCAAGACCATCTCAATCCATTGATAAGTTAAAAAAAAAAATAACCATATATAATAAGTATAATTAAAAGAAAATGCTCCATATGGTTAGTGGCAGCTGTGGTAAAACGATGGCTTACTGGGTATATTTTTTTGTATAGTTTTTTTCATTGATATTCTATTTCTTACATGATTAAAATAAAACTGTGATATATTTGATTCATAAGTTAAGAAAATATCTCAATACAACTATTTCTCTTTCCTCAAGAAATAACCAAAAAAAATATTTTAATGTTGATGATACAAACCAAAATCGATATACTCATCAATTTCCCACACAATGTCAGGCACAATCCATTTATATTCACTAAGGTCCGGTATCATATCTTTCCATTGATCAAAAGTCTACAAGGTAAGAAAGTGTGTCAATCAGATGCTCCGAATGTCAAATAAACATGTAAAGAAAAATTATTTAATTAAAACACATTAATCTACTAAGAGCAATGTATTATGTTCAAAACTTTTAAAAAACAAATTTAAGTGGCCTCAACAGACAAGCACATAAAACGTGTAAACACTCCTCTGTTAAATATGGAAAATGTAAAAATTCAGAATATACTCCTATTTCAAACAGGTTTCATAATTTCACTCTAAGCAGTACAGTGGGGTAGAAGGAAGACAGATTGGAAGACAGGACACCTTGCCTCTGGTCCCAGAGCTGCCAAGAAGTGCTTGTGTGAGAATGCCACCTGACTTTCATATCTGTGCTACTAAATGGCAAAGCTCAAAATCAAACCTAGGTGTTCCTACTCCCAGCCCTGTGCTCCTTCCACTAGGCCATTTTCATTTCCTATAATTATAACTAAGATTCTAAAGGGATCTTCCTATTAGCATCATTAAAACAATCTAGTACATGGTAGAAACACAAAATAAATGTTTAATCATCTAACTGTATTCCGCTACACAAAAGAAAAATGATTTATGCTCTAAAAACTTAATCATGATAGAATAATTGGAAAAGCGGTAGGAATGTTAAGTTCACCTTTTTGGCTGTGTAGCCACCCCCAACAGCAGATCCTAGTATGAGATAGCGAAGTTTTAAGAGTCTCGTGGCTAATCTTGCTGGCCAAAAATTCCTGCGAGGCTGGTAGCCATATTTAATTGGAGAGAATTTCAGTTTACGTAAAGGAAGATTTGTTAGAGAAGAGAACTGCTGAAATGATGTCCTTAATTGGGGTCGTTGAAGCTTTAAGGTAGGATGACACGAATGATAAATACTTCGGGAAACCAGATGTAGTTTCTGTAGTGGTAAACCTCCTTTTACTCCAGAGCTGTGTTTCACTAAAGACTGGCAGACCTCACTGAAAGAAAAATGAATATGGAAGAAAGATCAGACAGGGTAACAATACAAAGGAAATGATGTTAGCAATATACTAAAGGAAACACCCCCCTCAAAAGTGACTAACCAGTGTTACATAATAGTTAATTTACTAACCGTTGACTTATGTGCCAGACACGGTTACAGCATAAGCTATCTCATTTAATCCTACTAATAATCCTATGTAAAAAGCGCTAGTACTATCGCCATTTTGCAGACGAGGAAAATGTGGCACAAAGACTGAGATAACTTGCCCAAAGTCACATTGACATAAGAAATAAAGGTAGAATTCAAATCCAAGCAGTAGGACTCCAGAGCCTGCACGCTAATATTTGGGCTATGATCCTGGTTTCAGGAATTGAAACTAAAGAGAGAAAAAGCAGGGACTTATTTTATTAACTACTATTCACTGTAAGTAAAAGTTGAAAACAAAAATGCATGCAAACTTTTGCTTTCAAAAACAAAACTTCTAGCAGTTTAGAACACCTTGATCTATGTCTCCTGATCCTGACAGCCTAGGGGTGGAAATTAAGGAAATTGATCAATCCTACCTCAGGCACCTGGATCCCCAGAAAAGCAAAAGAGCTCAAAAGAGAACAGAATTTAAATGTACATGATCACTGTAGAGCTCCATTTTCTTCTCCTTCCTGAAGAGAATGAAAGATTGCCAACAACCATATCTTAACATATACTCATAACTGCATAAATAGTTGCTTGCTTACTATTAATTGCTTACTAATCAAAACTAGGCTTGATTTTACATAGTTAAAAAACATTAATTGCTTTAATTACATGGGACTGGAAACTTCTTAAGGAGGAGGAGGCTGGGCATGGTGGTTGGCAACTGTAATCCCAGTACTTTGGGAGGCTGAGGCCGGTGGATCGCCTGAGGTCAGGAGTATGAGACCAGACTGGCCAACATGGTGGAAACCTATCTCTACTAAAAATACAGAAATTAGCTGGGTGTGGTGGCGCATGCCTGTAATCCCAGCTACTCAGCAGGCTGAGGCAGAAGAATCGCTTGAACCCAGAAGGTGGAGGTTGCAGTGAGCTGAGATCACACCACTGCACTCCAGCCTGGGCAACTGAGTGAGACTCTACCTCAAA